AGACCAAAGTGACTAAGAAAGAATGATGGCAAACCCTAAACCCCCTAAGTCAATCTTGGCAGTAAAAGATGCTTTGCTATTTCTACTCTAAAAGATAGTTCTGGTATGTGACGATTCTTTGTCACAATCTCTCCTTCCGAGTGGTCAAATAAACGAATAATATGTAAAAGATACGTGTCATAGCGCACATATACAATAAACTCAAGGACTTATAATTGGAGGAAATATAAGTCATAACATGGTGTTCTTGTGAATGACAAATCTGCTACAGTTGAGATACTCAATTCCCACCTTGTATCCATCAAGTATATTTTTTCTACCGACGACTTTAAACCTGAATCAGTATTTAAGATTTCTTCAAATATTTCTTAGTTGCCCAATCATGAAGTCACTCTACAACATAGTAAAAAGAATTTTTTCGAAAGTTGATTCCCATAAGCGTGTTCTACGCGTACTACATGAGGTATATTAAAGGAGTCAACCCTAATAATTGCTGCCATCATACAAACTTGCGATTTTCAGCAGTCGTAAAAGGACACTTGAGGCTTTATTTCCAGAAGCAGAAGTGGTTAATGGAAAATTTTTTTTAAAAAAAGTTTGGTTTTAGCGCCAATGCCCGAAGGTCAAGTATTTTCGAAGAAATTCAAATAGTTATCTTATATCAAGCGACTGGTCAAGTAATTGACTAAGTTGAAAAACAGCATGACATGACTCTTGATCTGCTAATAATAAGATAAAAGTTAACACACACAACTGGCTAGAAAACTAGCTGGTATTATTCATCCGATCAGTTAGAAAATAACACGTATTCTCATTCTGAACAGTTGAAAAAACCGCTGATTAAACTTCACAGCAACTGATAGCTTGAATAGTTCAATTTTTTGTCCCCTCATCATTTCTTAAAATACGCTTTTTTGTATTTCAATAAACCCCTTTATTTAAGGGAATTGCCGCAGGATCTTTTAAGCGAGAAAAGCCCTTTTGCATTTATTAGAAAATCAAAAGGCTTTACGAGAAAACCAATGGATTTTTCATCGAAAGTGTGACACCCTGACAGTTTATTAATCCAACTCCGATACCTTTCGGGGTTTATAAAACCGCTTTTTTAGAATTCGAAAGGGCATATTAAGAAACCCTGTCGCTGAGAAACCATTAAGTGCTCAGGAAAACTGTCAATAAACTTTTTCCCATCCCGGAGGGAAAATCCCAAACAATTAGAGTTTTTTAAAATACGGATTTTGTTTAGAGTGTAGATGTATTACTTCGTATTCCATTTCCTAACATTGACACTACCAGAAAAATAATGATCGAAGAATGTGAATTACAATATGACGATGACCAACATGAACTACGAAACGTTTTTGAATTCGAACGAATTTACAATCCTGAGGATGCTATTTTTTGGGTATACGCGTGACTGCTTCCTGCATCGACTCTTAAACAAAGTATTTCGTACAGAAGACATTGATATTATATTCAAATTTTGTTTTTTTCTCAAAGATCTTTACCACAATCAGTCAGACTGCACAGTGATTATATTTAAACACTTCAGCTATCTAACAAAAATGTTCTAACCGAATATCGGGACCAAGCTATGTTTGTCGAAGAATTAAACAAGTTAGCTGAAAATATTGAAAAACGTGTGTCCATCAATAGTTTTGTATCAACAACTACACAGTGTGATGTTGCTCTATCGTTCGCCGGTGACCGCAGCCCTCACCCCATAAAAGAATCTGTTCCAGAGTTGTAACCGGGTCGGGTCGGTCCGGTGTAAAAGTTTAGGCTGACCGGTCTCCGCCGGTCTAGAAAGGTTTTTTAAAGCAACCGGTGTTAGACCGGTTTTTTGCCGGTTTTGAAATTCTTAGAATTTCTTCTTCACTAAAAAAAAAATGAGTTTTACTACCCTCTTGTCTGTCTAGAAAATCTTTGAAAACCGGTCGGTTTTCTGCCGTTTTTCCACCGATCTAAAAGTTTTTTCAAAACCGGCCATTCTTTTGTCGTCTTTTAACCAATCTAGAAAATTTTCCCCGCCTGATCATTTCGCTGCAATATACAATCATATTGGAACATTACTTATTGCTAAAGAGGTTTCACCAAGACTGAATTATATTTGAATTACGTATTGGATAGTGCACAGAAGTACATAATATCAGATTCCGTTGCCTTTTAATTG